GGAGGAGGCTGCAATGGTGCTTATAATGCTGGATTTTGAGGTGACAACTGCTTCCTAGAAGGCCACGATCAGCCTTATTTTCCAAATAATATTAGGAAATATAATGTTTGCTCTGTCTGAGAATGAATGAGGAACTTGAGCAGAACTGCTAAACATAAAAGTTCCTGGACATCTGGAAAGGATTAGTCAGGAAGGTGCTTGGGACAAGGAGTTCAGGCCAGTTCAAGAGACACCTACTGTAGATTTGTTTCCACAGAAGGAGGGAGGAGGAGTGAAAGGGCTGAGGGGAAAAGCAGGAAGGGAGGATTGAAATAAAACCTACACAGGACTGGCAGATAAAGCAAGGGAGATGAGAACAGTCTGCACTCCGCTGAAGCGTGAAGTGCCGAACAGCCAGCCTCTGAGGGTCTGCTGAGCAGAAAGGGCAGGATGTAGCAACATGGGATAAACCACAGTGGCAAAGAACTGGCCAAAGAAATGTTTGTGCCCATCTTTGCAAGGCCAGACAATGCTCCCTGAGCTGAGCATTTCCTCGCTGCAGGAAAGCACATCCCTGCTTCACAGCCAGATGTGTTCCCATTCAACTCACGTCGATAGGATTAGCAGATTTTGCTCCCCTTAGAGCCTACCAACAACTCAACAGGGCAAATGCTGTGATAAAGTCAAGAGCACTAGAGAAACATTAAAGCACAGACAGCTGAGTGCTAGGAACGAGAGCTGCACATTCAATTAATGTAGATGGGAGAATGTTTGTTTTATTTCTGAGTGGATAAGCACTCAAGCAGCCTCTGGGGCCCTGCAAAATCACAAAGGAGTTCTGCTCCAGGCCAAGATGAAAGTCACAAAGAATAAGCATGAAAACCACAGGGGCTTGTGAAACTCATGCTTGGTTTATTAAATGACTCACGAAGCTTTTTATCACATATTTCTGCCTCCAAGTAAAATCAAACTTAAATTCAGGTGCCAAATTCTTTACCTTTTTGCTAAAAATGGAAATCCAGTTTTGAAATCTGTCTGAAAACACATGAGCTTAGGCTGGAGCAAAACTTTTGGATTTCTTTTAGAAGTCTGGAGTTCTGAACCTGGCACTAAAAGTCCATATATTTGGTTCCAGCATAACCCTGGGCAAAGATGTTGGGAACCTGGAAAATCCAGAGATGAGCACTAACTGTTACCACAGTTTGGAGGATTGGGAGGGATATGATGAATGAGAGCTTTTTATTGTCAGTATGGTGGCAAGCTGGTCAGAATCATGAGAAGACAGTCATAAAGCACAACTGTACTCTATTGCGCAGTGGGAGAATGGGGTGATATAAATGTGTCAAAAATAAAATTACCCGTAATTGGTCTCATTTCTAAAGCAGAAATGTGTAGAGACATCACTGCATAAGATGCTAACTTGCACCCTACATGAAAAAACAAACTAACCAGATAGAAGTCAGATGCTTTCCATAAATGTTTGTGGGTATTTAAATTTAGTAACTGATTTTAGTTTGTGCTTTCACTGTAAGTTAAGAATAACTATTTTCAAACTGTGTTAGTAGGAGGTAAAGCTGAAAATCAAAGCACGAGCTTTGTGTTTCCTGAAAATTTTACTTCAACAAGGTAGCTCCAGCTGCTAACTTGGTTTTATTGCATTCCTAAAAGACAGATCTCCATGCAAGAACACTTTAAGAGCTCTGTTCCAAAAATAAAGGCACTCAGATTTGTTTTTATGGTTAGGTATATTTTATCAGTCAGTCTCATAGCTAGCAATGTCCTTGGCATTGCTGTTACCCACTGGCCTCCCTGGGGCATGGCACAGGCCCCTGTCCCCACACACAGCTTCCTCCAGCCCCTCTGTCTGCCAGGTGAACGCTGCTGCTGTCCCAGCACTAAAACCCTGAAATTTTTCAGTGATGCCAGCAGGCAGACCTGACTTGCAAATGCTGGGCCATGTCACACCTCCGTTTTGGAAAGTTCAGGTGCAGAAACAAATCCTGAGCGAGCCAGGGACCTTCAGGAACGAGCAAGAGAGATGCAGGGAGGAAGAGCAGCACTTACCTCGGTCTGTCCTGGCTTCTTGGAGCTGCAGGCTGGGACAGCACCACAAAATGACATCCAAACCGCCTGTCTGCAGGTGGATAACTTCAGTGGGAAAGGTTCCAAGTATCTGAGGAGGAGGAGCGGCCTTCTCACTCGAGTGCTCTGAAGTTAAGCACTTGGATACGAAATACCCAAAATACCCACCCGGACTGTCGTCACGGTGGGACGCTTTGAACCTGCAGAGGTTCTCCAGCAAATACAGGCTGAAGGGAGGCTCGCACACACAAGGAATGACATTCTTGTTAACAACTGGGGATCTTGGCAGCTTTCCTGAACTGCAACGTAAAGATCTTGAAACTGAGCAAAACTCACAGTTGTATCCAATTAGGGAGCCGTGATGCAGAGGTTCGTTTGTGCCCTTCCAGAACACTGCAGACAAACGCAACCGATGACATGGCCTATCAGCCATAAACAGGCCTTTGTAATTAATCACACCAAAACTTCAATGAGTACCTCCTTCACCCCGTTTCAGTGAGAGTCGGAGTCAGGTCATAGCGAGTTTTAATTCAGAAAGCTCTCTCAGCACTTTTAACAGGGCTGTTGTTAACCCAAAAGACAGATACTAGAGGGCCAAACTCCCAGTAAAAGCAGAGGGGCCACCACTGAACTGTTCTGAAGACCTTCCAAAATTTAAATCCATTTATTCTTTAAGCAGCTGTAAGACAGACTGCCAGATAAGAGGGGTGTTGAAGGGCTGTATAGTGTGTGCTTATGTAAACACAACTTTGCCTCCACAAACACCACGATTTACTGTTTTCTGATGATGATACCTCAAGGCCCAAAGAGGTTGATACCCCAAGATTCACCCTACAGTCATCTGTCTTTACCCCTTTCATGCCGTATGAAATGAACATAAGTCTATACAGCTGTTCCCTGTTAGTCTGCCTGCCATCCTCTCTGGCTTTACACTCTGCCATTTTACAGTACAGTATTTTTTTTGCATCCTATCTTCACTGAAATGTATCAGCATGGGATTTAGCTCAAATCATGGCAAAGGGACTAAGTTCAGAATACATCACTGTGCTTCAGAAGTGAGAGTAACAAATGCAAACTAGCATCCACAAATCTCCAATTAAACTTCAGGCCTTTTCCTCAAACCATTTTAAGGATTTGGGTAAACTTCATTTTACTTTTTTTCGTCTACTTTGTTACGTGGCATTGTATGATGGGTTTGTTGGGAAGACAGATCACCTTGGCTCGTCCTTGTGTCATTAAGAAACTCAAGATGTTTATGGATGGCAGTCATAAGCTCAGAGCGCCCTCGGACAGCAAACCAAAGACAAACTATCAGGATTGGTGACAATGACTGCAGCAGTACACACTAATCATGTGTGGAGACAGACAACGAGCAGATCCACTGCTTCTGGCTGCCTGGTGGAGATGTGCAAAACAGAGGCGAGAAGAAAAATGCAGAAGTATGCACTGAAAGAATGTCAACAGACATGAAAACTGAAGTTCCTTTCTTCCCATCAAAATGCCTCCTGTAAGGCTGCAAATCACACAGCTTGGCAGCACAGTCCCAACACAGGCAATTCATCTTCCTTTCTGCCACAGGTTCTTAACTATCAGAAAAGGGACAGGGAGATGGATGGGAGAGATTGTTATTATCTTTGCTCTCTTCTGTATCACAACATACAACCTCGTTTGTCAGATGCATCTCAGACTGACAGCCTCTGCAGACACTGGCAGTCGGCTGTCACAGAAACAGCTAGGAGGTAATCTACATAAATCTACTGCAGCCTCTGTCATCCCACAGCAGACACTCATCCTTTCCTTAAAATCAGAAGTCAGTGATGTCCCTAAGGAAGACGCATGGGCTGAACACTAACAGCAGGCACTAGCTAACAAAGTTTACCTACAGTACTTCACTGACTGGAACCTAAATACTGGGAAAATGAATTTGAATTTAAATAATCCAAAGGCAGAAAGTGAATATCTAGAGCTGAGAGAGGAGTTTGTGGCTGGAAGCAAAGTTCTGGAAAGGGAAATTACATGAAATGGCTCACCGTGCTGTGGATATGAAAATAAATGCCTTACGCTGAACCGATACCGTGATGCAACCCACTGCACCAGAAGCACACCGGCAAAATGAGTCAGTGACAGGTCACAGTGAGACAGAGCTACTCGAGGATGGGAAATGCTTCGCATGCAGAAGCAGCTGCATTGAGACTGCTGTACATTTGCTAAATAAACTGCATTCTTGGCTCATCTGCCAAACCAGTATCTTAACTGCATCATCTGCTTTATCTTAAACCGAGGCAGGAGGAGCCCGTTTCTCACTTTCCTAGCAAGGAGATGGCCAAGTGAAAAGCTCCAGAACAGTGGCACGTTGACTCACAGCAGCTAAGCTGCACTCTTGCACAAGGTCTGTAGGGGATGCAAAGAGCAGAAGCCGCTCATCCAGCCACAAGAGCCACTGTTGCAGCAGGCTGGAGGGCAGGATCAGCACCAGCCACACTCCAGGGCCCTGAAGCAACGTGGGGCATGCAGGCACAGAGAAGCAGCTTAAAGCCATGCCAGCAAACCAGCTGAGCACCCCACCAGCCCCCAGTATGCGTGCTCAGAGCAGAACCTGCCTCATTTTCCCTCTGCTTAATGCCCTTCCTTTGACAAACACTGATTTCATCAGCCGTGACACCCTGAAGCCATACCAAAGCCAAGAGGGTGATGTTATTTTTCTTTGCAATTAAAACTGCATATTAAGTACCATTCCACAAACAGTCGTCAGCTGATGGGGAAGAACTGGCAGCACCAGTCCTACGCAGCCAGCAGCCTCCAAAGGCCCTCCGAACACAGCTCTCTGCAGGTTGAGCAGTGCCCTCCGGTGGTCAAATGGATTCCCCGGGGTTTGAGACATATTTTGTCCCCTCCCCAAAAAAAAGGTAAGAAACATGTACTCAAGCACATCTACAGTCTATCTGGAGGCACATTTTTTTTTTTATTTGACCTTCTCTGACAAGTTATAGCCCTTACCAGGTAAGTTACAGACACGAATCCCATCACTTCCCATGAACATTACAAAGGATCAGTTTCAGCCAACAGAAGAGGACCCTAACTGACACCATCTGCTGCTGCCACAGAACATGAAGTTTTAAGACTGAATTAAACATATCAGTATTTGTTACAAGCAAGTGATTTTAACTGGTACAGACATGTCTTCCTCAGAATACTGTAACACACTCAAAAACTGCCTTTATCAGATGTCAGGTGTTTATGCTAGATCTGTGTACCTTTGTAACTACATTTACAAGCCAAATTTGTTCCTTCCTCTTCAATGTACAGGTGGGATAAAAGCAAACACATCGCTCAGAAGCACAATGCACAAACTGTTTTTAATTCCTGACTTGACATCTTTATTTATTGTTAAGGATGGTACCCAACAATCTTTCTGTGGTATCAACCCACTGGACCTCAATGTTACATTTATTTGCAGTGCATTTCACCATTTGTTTACAAGTCAGTAAGTTTCAACTTTTTTTTTGTATACAAAACACCCGTAGCAAGAAAAAGAAAGGATGCCTTTCATAGTTGAAGATGCTGACTCCCTTCTATTGTTGACTTGTTCAGCTCAACCTCTTCTTCAGACGCTGTCCATCTCCATTTGAAAATGGAACAGTCCAAGCATTTCCTACCAAGGCCAATTCATTCAGCTTCCAAAACGTAGCAGTAAAGCTTTTTCAACTCATCTTCCTCTTTGTGGTTATCTCTGAATATACCAGACACTCATAGAAGCTGGTCAACATCAGTCCTTCCTTGGATTTTCCATCTGGAGCCTGGTTAGCAGGGCAGCTGTCACTGGTTGTCCAAATAGAGAGAGACCTTAAGGAGAACATCTGAGTTGGGGAAGAAAAAATAAATCATTAGTTTAATGCATTTGTGTTCTGTACCTGCAAAAATTTAACTTAAAACAATGAAATAAAATGTATATAAAGCCAACTTCACAGAGCTAGTGAAATGGATCGCTAATCCCCATTATAATGGGAGAAAAGACACCGCTCCCAGATGATCCTTGGGTGTAAAGGCTAGTATTTACCACCAAATCTTTCACAAAATCTGAGCACGGATTGCAAAGAACCAGTGCAAAGGGAGCAAGCTCACCCACTGCTACTGAGCCCAACGCAGGAGCTGGGGGTAGGAAGGCCTTCAGCCCCCCGGGCTAATAAACACCCTTTGGGTCTGCCACTTGAGGAGCTACCTTGAACAGTGTCTTCCTCGTACCGCTCCAGAATCCTCTTCCAGGCCTGCGGGAGGGCTTCCATATCTTCCGGGCTGTCACAGCTGATGCTCAGCAGTAACAGCTTGCTCTCCAGGTACCTGCGAGCTCCATAAGGCCAACACACACACACAAAGCAGCACCCCCCACCCCCCACGGAAATCCCCCACCGCAAGGATACAGGTGCCGGTAGTACCGCTCCACATCCTGCAGCCCTTCCAGCACATCAGCCAGCGACGGGCGGCGAGCCCCACGCCGCAGGGTTTCTTCCAGCCCCAGCTCCGCCGCTTTCTCCTCGTAGACCCGCAGCACGGAGGCAGCGCCGGTCCCGACGGCGTCCCTCAGGGCGCGGAGCTCCTCCCTGCGGGGCACAGCTCAGCCCAGCCTCATCCCCCGGCACCCAGCCCGGCCCCGGAGCCTCCTCCCCTCACCGCCGCTGGCCCAGCTGCTCCAGCAGCGCCTCGGCCGCCCCGCGCTGCTTCCTCCACAGCCGCTCCCGCAGCTCCCCGAAGGCCCCGAGGGGCGAGGAGCCCCACGCCAGCCTCCGCGCCGCCCTCAGCTGCTCCGCCAGCCCGGCGAGAGACACCAGCAGCGGCTCCCACGAGGCCAGAGCCTCCCTCCGCGCCGCCTCCTGCCGCTCCGCCACCGCCGCCCACTCCCGCAGCTCCGCCGCCATCACGCCCGCGGCCGCCGCCATCTTGGCGTCTTCCCGGAAGCGCTCCCCGTGTAGACATCATCAACCCGCGTCGCGCTCGGACCGCGGCGGGACCAATCAGAGCTCGGCTCTGATTGGCCGCGCGGCGCTCGCCGCGTTCTGATTGGGCGGAGAGGGGGGCGGGGCTTGGGTTTAAACGCGGCGCGGGCGGCGGCGGCGGCGGCTTAGTGGGCGGTGGGAGGGGGTCGGGGCTGGGTGGGCTCCGCACGGCGGCAGCGGCACCTCCAGGCCCCGCGGCCTTGCCATGGCGCCCTCACGCAAGAAGGCGGCTGGGGGGGCCCGCAGCAGGAAGCTGGCTGCGTTCCTCAAGGACTTCGACCGCGAGGGTGGGCGCCGGGAACGGGTTTTGGGGAGGGGGTGGCGCTGGGCCTGGATCTTTTTTGGGTTTGGGGGGAGGAGGTGTCAGGGCCTGTTATTGGGGGAGGGACCTGGTTTGGGTGGGGGTGAAGGGGGGTGGGCTTGGGGCGGGGGGGGTGTTTGAGCCTGATTTTTGGGGTGAGGGTGGCTCCTGGGCTCAGTTTTCTTTTTTTTGGGAGGGAGGGGTAGGGGTGGTCCTGGGCCCGGTTTTTGGAGGGGGGGCGGTGGTACCAGGATCAGTTTTTTGGGGGGGGGGGGGGGAGGTCGGGTCTGGGGGTGGAAGAGCGGTGAGAAGGGCCGGGTCTGTTGGGGGGAGGGGGCGAGGGGCTTGGCGTTTGAGCCTGGTTCTGGGGGAAGGTGGGTAATGGTTGCTTGGTGGCTCCACAACTGTTTGTTTGGGGTTTTTTGGGTGGGGGGGTGGAAGGGGGAGAGGTGTTGCTGGGCCCATTTTTTTTGGGATGGGGAGGTGTCTTGGGCCCAGAGCTGAGTATGACCCCGTGCCTTTGTCCCCGTAGTGAGGAGCCGAGTTGAGCAGCTGCAGACAAACGGGCAGCGCCTGGTCAAGGAGGCAGAGAACCTGTACAACATCGAGATGCTCCGGCTGCCCGTGGCACTCCGTGAGATGAACTGGCTCGAGTACTTTGGTACGGGGAGTGCTGGGCTGGTGGGGGCACTCCTTCCTTTAAGCAGTGCTAAATGGGCAGCAAAAGCTTGAGGCAAGTGGACTTGCACAAACAGAAAACCTGTGGGTGGCTGGGAGTGCTGGTATCCATCTGAGGTTGCTCACGCACTGCTAGGAAAACTGCTTCGTGCTGCTTTTTGTTCTAGTGCAGTGTTAAAATATAGCTGTATATATTGTAGGAGCTGTTGTGGATCACTTCTTAAAAAGGAATGTTTTCTTTCTAGCTAAAGGAGGGAGTAAAAAGGTCTTGGAAGCAGCAGCGACAGTAAGTATTCAACACAAATATTGAACTGGCTTGGTGGTGTCATATAGCCCTGTAGGAAACAAAGGGGTTCTTGAATCTGTAGGAGTGTTGCAGTAATATGGGTTACATTAATAATTTTGTAAATGCTGCTTTAAGACTTATCAGTAAGAGATGCTTCTTGTATCCAGTATAAGATTTGCCTGCTGCTCATACTGCTCCTTGGCTGGCATGCTTGACTTCACTCATGTGTACCCAAAGGAACACACAGTCTTCAGTACACCAAAGCATTTCTAAATTGGTTGATCAGCAGGGAGATCTAATACAAAATGACATCCCTAATAATAGGGACAGTAGGGACAGTCCCTATCTGAGCTCAACAGAAGGATATGAAGGTGTTTTTGCTGTAATACTCTTAAGGGTTTGGTCAACAACTTCTGTTTCAGATCTATGCTACTGATAATCCTAACAGTATTATGACTTTTTAATTTTAGGCAGACTTGGAAATAACAGAAATAAACAAGTTAACAGCAGAAGTTATCCAGACTCCTTTAAAAGTCATCAAGAAAGGTCAGTTTGTTTCTAAGCATTGTGATGAGCTCAGTAAGAGGAAAGCATGTCATGGTTAACATACTGTGAATAATAATTCAGTTTTTAAAGCTTTCAATATGTTTAAAGATGTGGAAGCAATTCTACCTTTATTCCTGCTATCTGAAGTAGCTTTACTTCTGTCAAAATGTTCGAAATGGTGTTCTGTCCACCATTTTCATTGGAATTCAGATTCTAGAAGCAAATTGTTGCCAAAAATGCATGTACTAGCTTAATTTTTACCTTAGGTGGTAGTCCGTAATGTAAAATTAGTGTTCTCAACTTGGATAATGCTTTCTCCTTCTAGTAGAGAAATCTAAACAGGTTATTGAAGCCATTGAAGAAGAAGCAGAGTCTCCTTTGCTTCCTGTAGCAAAGAAAGCAAAACACGATACCCAAGTTCCAATGATAGGAGTTGAAAATACTAATCCAAGAACAGGAAAGGTAAATGACTACTTTGTGATTACTTTATTCCCAAGATATAAGCTACTTACTGAGTTGATGATGCTTTTACCAATAGTAACATAATTTTTTTAATATATCCATTTTGCTCTGGGCAATAATAAGTAAATGAACAGGACTGAGTCAGATTAAAAGTTCATGTATCCTTCTTAAGTTCTACAGCTGAACTTAAGGGAGAGAATATAAAATTACTGCTTGAATGGGGATGGTCTCAGTTCGCATGGGGTTTGTTTTAGACTCTTGTGATTTTAAAAAGGAGCCTATTGAGTCAAATGTTTTGTATGGAAGCATTTATTCCATATTTGGAACTCCTCTGCCATGTGAGAGGGCATTAACTGATTTGGGAATTAATGTTTCAGGTGAGGGCATCTATTAAAAAAGCACCAGTGTCCAGGAGCAGAAGAGCTCCTTCAGCAAGAGTGAAACGCTTGAGTAAAAGGTAAGAGAAGATATCCCTTACTACAGGATTTCAAAAATGGAGACCAAGTGTAGATTGCTTATTTTTTACATGTAATAGAGTGTGGCTTAGTAGGCTGGCTGATGTAGGCATGCCATGCTGGGGACAGAGTGGGGAGGCAGTGGAAATGATGTGACAGTGATGGAAAGTGGTCAACTTCTCTTGTAATGACCAGCTATCCCTAGCTTTGGGTTGCCCTGGATTGGTAAGAATCTCCAATCATCTCACCTAAAACTTTGATAAGACACCACCTCTGTATCTTAAAATGATCCTTTTTTGAGCAGTAGGGCTTTACTTATTTTCTTTTAAACAGGTCAAGCAAAAACAACTTCATCACTCCAGCTACTGGCCGGATGGTTGATCTCTGTGTTCAGGGGGGTACTTCCATTGTCACACCCAGGTTTGATTCCAGGTCTGTGTTCTATTAATTTGTTAATCTGTTAAATCTGTTATATATATGCCTTGCTGCTTGCTTTATGTATCAATCATCTTTATGTGGAACATTCCCCAGTGTCTCTTTGAACCTGAAATACAACTTTTAGTCAAAGTGTTTTAAGCGATTGCAGTAAAACTTTTTACCCATAACTTCTGTTTCAGAATTTTCAAGACCCCAGGTTTGCGCACACCTGCAGTAAATGAACGAGTTTATACCATCTCTGCCAACGGCAGCCCCCTTGCTGATGGCAATGATATCTTCATTACAGTCCCTGTTGGAGGAGGAGAGGTAAAGTTAGGAACTTCAATCTGTCCAATCCGTGCTGAAAGGATAGCCTGTAAATTCTTGGGTGTTTTATCAGTTTCTACTGACTCTTCGCCATCCATTCTTGTCTGTTTACTTGTTCCACTACAGGTTATCAGGGAATAGATGTAGGTTAAAAAGAACCTTAAAAACTATCAGTCAGAAGTGGGAGCTGGCCTAAGCAGAACGTAGTGTGATGTTTTTCTGTGCATTTATGTATAATTAAAAATAGCTTCTGCTGGCAGTTATGTTGGTACTCTGAAATGCAGGTATGAGGTGAGCTTCTGGTCAAACTGGATGTAGATCTTTGCTTGTACATGGTCTTCTAGTATGCATGGATTTCTTTATTTTTTTCGTTTTCTGACTGCTGCAGCTACCCAAACAGGAAACCTAAGATTTGGTTTTGGTGTTTTTACAGAGTATTCGTTTAACAGCGAGTGATTTGACCAAGAAGAATCTTCTTCATTTGAATCCAGAGGCACAAGGAATTATGAAGAAGCTATCAGTAAGTCTACTTTTAATCAAGTACTGAAGTTATAATGCAGCATTGTCTCTGTCATTAGTCACTGGACTATTGAACTGTAATAGCTCCTTATTTCTTTTCCCCTTGTCTTGATCTTGGCTCATGTCACTGATCAAGAGAGAACATGAACTGAGAATGGAAGGATGGGAATACCTTTACTTCACATCTAGCTTATTCTAAACCATGCAGTTGTTGGAAAACTTATTGATGTTTTAAAAAACAAAATGTCTTCCACTTCAGGCAGGAGTTGTAAGTGTCTGTGGGATATAATAATAACTCTTAAGACTGCTGATGGATTTCTCTTTCTTCTTAGGTTCGTCTCGCACAAGCTTGCAGTGGTACAAAAACCCACCGATGAAACTTGATGAATGTTGGCATCCCTCTGTAAATATGGAACTTTACATTTAGGACTACTGTCTTTAGTTCTTCGAATCTGTCTTCCTTCCATTAGCTTACAGAATGGAAGTTAGGAATTCTTTTTCTACCTGTAATATGTGCTGAGCTTAGAATGCATTTTTTACTCTTCAACAATTTTTAAAAAAAAACAACAACCTGAATACTTTATTTCCTGTTTACTCTAAGGTGGAAACCAAGGCACAGTTATCTTGGGCTTGCAAACCAGCAAGCTGAGTAGAAAGGCTATTGTGGTATCTTGCAAAAAACATAAGCAGTGGATGCAAGTGATTGGAGTTCACTTCTGTCTGGGAAAAGAAACCAACAGATCAGATTTGTTGCATTTCCTTTCAGGCATGGCCTTTCCCCACTGGTGGCTTTAAAAGTGATGACTATCTCAGTATAGTATTGAGATATCTCAAAGCAAGTTACAGGTGCCTGGGACTAAATGGAAAGTTTCTTATTGTTTGCGGTGCTGCCGTGAATTTTAAATATTTTGGTTATGAGGTTTTATAGTGAACATATTCATTTTATTGTTTTAAAAGAAATAAAAATCACTGGTGGTTTAACAAAA